ATTTTTTTTGAAAGAAATCTTTATAAAACAAATAAGAGCCTTAATATGACAATCGAGCTGAAAAGGCAAGGTATGTAAGTATGAATGTGCATATGCACATGAATACTCACATTTACTGTATGTTAGGGTGTGTTAGGCAAATCAAGGCAGAAAAAAAAATTTTTTTTGGTGTTTATTGGGTCTGTTGAATATCATTAAATATGGAAATTTTTATACCCGAGCACACTTGTGCACAAGGGTATTATAACTTTGTTCACATAACGGTTGTTTGTAACAGGCAAAACGAATCGAGATAAATATAGACAAATGTACATATACATAAATGATCAGAATGAAAAGAGAAATCGATTAAGCGGTGACTGTCTGTACGTCCGTCCGTCTGTGCACACGGTAACTCGAGTAAAAATTGAGATATCTTAACGAAACTTGGTACGTGCACTTCTTTTGGGCATAGGACGGATGGTATTGAAAATGGACAATAACCACGCCTACCTCCCATATAACGGTAATTTTCAGAAATACGAAAACTGCGATATTTTAGTAACTACTGAAGATTCTTCACTCAAAATTGATATTTACAATGACTTTTAGACGAAAAATAAGAATATTTAAAATTTTTGGAAAATGGGCGTAGTCACGCCCACTTATGGTTACATGTGTATATCTTGGTAACCGGTGCACCAATTTCTTCCAAACTTGGCACAGTTGTTGGCCTTGGTACACCATACCAAATGGCCGAAAATTTTTAAAATCGGACAATAACCACGCCCACATCCCATACCACGGTAATTTAGAGAAATATGAGATCCTCCATAAATCAGAAAATATTAAAGCTAATTTATTCAAAATTGATGCTTGCAACAATTCTTTACCAAGAAATACGTTTATGGTAAAATTTTGGGAAATAGGCGTGGCACCGCCCACTGATGATCACATATATGTATCTCGGTAACCGTTCTACCAATTTGTACCAAACTCGGTATGGTTATTGTGCTTGCCACATAAAAGCAAACCGATGAAATTGTTGAAATCGGACTAAAATTACGACCGCTTTTCATATAACGGTATATTTCAGAAATGCTTGAAACTGCAATATTTCGAAATTTAAGGACGCTAATTTACTTAAAATTTATACACCCCGGCCTATCATGTAGCGGTAGCTTTCGGAAAGGTGGAAAACATATCTTTAATAATTTCTTAGAACAAGAACTTAGAATAAGAACTTAGACTTTCTTACTTGTTATTACTTAATTTTAATTTATCTACTAAGGGCAAAGCCTCTTGATAAGTGTACGCTCAGACAAATACTTATAGCACTTTTGGTTTGGTTACTTTTCTATAGGCAAATTGGTATACATTCTATTAAAAATATAGCAAACTATGTAAATTCGAAGAAATCGAAAGATTACCCTAATGCACATTAGTTCACATATTTACTTTATAATTGTAGCGTTCCATCGGAGTAGCAAGTGAAAGGCTGGCGTTATGACGGCGCTGCTTTAGATAATTTATGTTATTTACTTACATCCAAATGTACATTCATACATACATACATATGTACATACGTATTACACATACTGGTATGTACTTACCGCCTTGCTTGCAAACGCACTTTTTCATAAAGTTGTACACCAACAATGTTTGTGTTGGCACATACCTACATACATACTATGTTCATATGCATTCGAGAGCCTTTCTCAAATATCTCCTTATTGTTAATTTTGTTAAATCTCTTGGGCCTTAATTATGGTAAATGCGGCATGACTGAAAGTGCGATAATCTGGCAAACACCATAACATATACATACATACATATGTATTTACGTTTATCTTAACATTTCTACTGCTTTTGAAATGAGTCACAGGTGTGCACATAGTAAAAGGCAATAAATCCAAATCTCTGCATATTGCTTGCTCATAAAATATTTATATAATTAAGTAAATAGTTTTATTATGAATTCTTGAATTGCTTGAAAAGAAAGTAATGCTTTTTAAGCGAAAC